CACGGTAGGGCACCGGCTCCCCGCCGGGGCCCATGGGAGATGTAGGCCAGCGGCACGACCGGAAGCGTAGTGCGGGCGGCGCGGGGGCTGCTGGGAGTTGTAGTCCCGCCCCGCGCTGTCTCCATGGCGACCGGAGGCGGCGGCCCGCGGCCTATTCCGAGCGGGGCCCGGCGGGCGCGGGGGAGGCCAGGGCGGTCCCGGGGCTCCTGGGGAGGGCACCGGGCCTCGTCCCTGCCCAGGCAGCACGTCCAGCCTCCCCCTGGGGAGTTCCCCATGACCCAGGCAGCACCGTGAAGGCCCCATGGCCACCACCCATCCCAGGGCCTGTTTCACCTCAAGGCCCAAGCAGGGAGCACGGCACCGCTTGGCCAAGGCTTCCCCAAGCTCCGTCTCCAGCTGCGAGGACATGAGGAGCCACAGGGTGAGGAGGAAGCAGGGCCAAGGTCACCACAGCAGCACCCTGTCCCCTTGGGAAACAGCCAGGATGGCAGCTCAGGCCGACACAAACAAATCCACAGCACACCCCAGCACGTGGGCATCGATAACACCGTGTATTCACTTGGTACAGGCTGACAGGTTAAGGGAATGGGGTACTTATATACAGGCTTTGGTATTAAGAGGTGGGAGGTATATCCATTTACAACACGCTGCCTCCGCGGTAGCTACAACACCAACAACATTCCTGGGAGCGCGGGGAAAGCTGGTTGGTATTTTCCAGTTCAAACATGGGACAGGCAGTCCTTAAACGTGCTCCCGTGGAGTTGGACAGCAGCAATCATGCCTGTCACCACATCATTGGAAGACACCAATAATTTATTGAAATAAATACAGGTACAAACTAAACAGCCTCTGGGTTTGAACGCTAAACACGTACCCTGGGCACAATTTCTCTACCCTCAGGAGAAAGGGGCTGGGAAAAGCATGTTGAGACACCGAGTTGGGTGTTTGAGCCTTTGCCAAGGCCGGAGCAGCCAGATACATGCTGGAGACCAGAGGTGGAAGCTCCCAAGTTGTCACACATCGAGCTTGTTGCAGGAAGGAGTCCGGGTTCAGGAGGATTTCTTTATAAACGTGATTTAAAAAAAAAGCCAAACCCCAAGTCCACGCGGGCAAGCTGAAACCTGAAGGAGGCCCCGCGGGGACGAGGCCCCGCAGCAGCCGAGGCTGCTCCCGGAGCGGCGCGAGCGAAGGCGGCGCCGGCCGGGCC